GTCTTTGTGCCTACCTCCTTTGGGAGCAGATGTTTATACTTCCCAATGCCATGCGTGGGACGGGATCTGTAGTGTCTGTGGTAACTCACAAGTGCATCACCTGAAAAGGAAAGCAGAGCAACCACGTATGCTGTTCAGCTGAAAACTTCTTTTAACAAACAGCTACTGGTGCTTTGAGAGCCCAGAATCTGTGCTGAGGGCATGAATATGTCTTTAGTTGTTTGGGGGAAGCTTCAGCAGCTTCACTGAGCTGCCTGCATATCCCATCCAGCATGCTACAATACCAAGCTGGTTAGTGGTGAGCAACAGGAAGGGAGAAAAGAGATTAAAAGTGACTCATCTCCCAGGTAAATTCTCAGCCAAACAACAACAAAAGAGCAGTGGATGGTGAGGGTATTGATGAAACCTTACATCTGTCTCCTCTCACGTGACAGCAGTGATGCTATTATGATGGATCTGAGCCTCACTTCATTTTAAATTCAGCCCTGTTCAAATATGCATGCGCTAGGAAGTCAAATCAAAATGGCACTGGATTTATTTACACTTCTTTCTCCAGAGTCAAATGAAACCCTCAACAGCTTTCACTTTAATAAGCAAAGCTCAGAACAGCAAAGAGAAACTGAACACCAAGGACCTAAGCTGCACAGATGCTTCCATATCAAAATCAAATTGCTACAGAGGACTCCACCAGCTCAGTAAATGTTAAAGTGGGACCTCACTCTGACATAGGTAAATTCCTGGATAGTAATACAGCCAGCAGGCTCTGCATGGTGTCAGCATAAAGCCACAAACAGAAGTATCAGCTCAACCAGGAACGTGGAAGCAGGAGAAAAAAATAGGCTAAAAAGGCACAGGGGTAACAGCATGGATTCTGGCTACATAACCAGCCCAACTGTGACTGAAAGACATTCAAGAGGAAACAGGAATGCTCAAATGTAAAGTATTCATTTAGGATAGATAAAATTTTGGCTTGCATGCAGTCAACAAGAAGCCTTACCTGCAGCACACAGACGATTTTCTCTGGGTGTTGCTGCTCTGTAGGAAAGAAGATTATTGTTAAAACTCCAATTTCACACAGCTGTGGAAATGTTACACGTGCAGCCAAACTGCCTGAACGAAGGCTCACATCCTCATGTCCCTCAGCCACGGATGAGATTCCATGATTGAGGAGACTCTCTCCTCAACCTTCAGCCTTTCAGCTCCCAGACATCAGATCCAAGCCTTCCCTCTTCAATTTAAAGCCTTTCCTCAGCAAGAATTACTTGTTAAACTGTATGGTTTCTGACACAGCCTGCGGAGGCGACCAAGTGTTCTTAACGCTTTATACTGTGTTGTATTTAACAGAGTTGATTTCTATGACTCACCGGCTGAGAGCAAACACTTGCTTTAGCAATGTTCCCTTTTTCAAGCACAGCACCTGTAACACATAACCACCAGGTGAACATTTAGTGAGTTTTTACTGGTGTTTCCCAGAATACACCCATAGAAACAACACCTGAGAACCTCTGACTGTACCCCAAGCCCTCTGATCTGTTCACAGCCTCTCCACAGTTACATTCCAGAAAACTGCCACAACAAAGAGACAAGTGACAAAAGGATGAGGATGACTACAGTCACCTTCTCCTGACACCCTCACTCTGGAGCAGTGACAACACCATTCCAACAACCACTGAAAGGCTGAAGTTGAGCTTCTTCAACTTGGAGAAGAGAAGGATATGGGGAGACCTCATGGTGGCCTTCCTGTACTTGAAGGGAGCGGATAAACAGGAGGGGGAACGGCTGTGTGTGAGGGTGGGTGGTGACAGGACAAGGGGAATGGCTTGAAAGTGAGCCAGGGGAGGTTTGGGTTGGATATGAGGAGGAAGTTTTGGAGGCAGAGGGTGGTGAGGCAGTGGCACAGGTTGCCCAAGGAGGCTGTGGATGCCCCATCCATCCCTGCAGGCATTCAAAGCCAGGCTGGATGTGGCTCTGGGCAGCCTGGGCTGCTGGTTGGTGACCTGCACACAGCAGGGCTTGGAGCTGGATGAGCGCTGTGCTCCTTTGCAACCCAGGCCATTCTATCATTCTATCATTCTATGATGCACTGACCACTCAGGTGCAGAGAAACGGAGTTCTGCTTTGCCATTACCACCACCCTGCAGGCTGCATCATTAGGAGAGGGCTAATTACACATCTCCTCATCTCATAACCAGAGAAATAAAGGCTGGGAAGAACCTGGAGGTAGTGATGGGATGGGGGCTGCCATGGCCATGGTGTCAGTGGTCCGTCCTTGGGTGTCCAGGGAAGAGTAAAGATCTCTGCCCCATCCACAGCCTGCAAGGAAGGCCACCGGGGTACCCGAAGCTGGTTGTCTCCATATCCGTCAGAACTGGGCCACAATTGCCAGACCACCCCCAGCACCAAAAAGGGGCAGGGACCGTCCCGATCCCAGCACCGATCCAATTCTGCCCCTCTCCTTCACAGCATGGCACCAGGGCCAGGTCTGGGCCTCTCTTCCCCGTTCTCTCCCCTCCTACCAGAGCAGCGTCCTCCACACCCACCCCTTCCCCTTCTCCCCCTGCCCCGCCGTTACCGCCGCGCTCATTGCTCCGCAGGGCCGTAGAGCCGCAAAGCGGCAAGGCCGTGTCCGTCGCTCACAGCGCTCCCCCGGCGGTGCACCCCCAACACCGCTCCGCCGCGCCCCGCAGCCCGCGCCCCGCGTTCCGCCCCCACCTCCCAACAGGAACCGGGAGGGCAATGGGGCATAACCTCTGCAGCTGGGGTTGGGGAGGGGTGGCCAGCAGGGACAGGGAGGTGATTGTCCCTCTCTTCTCTGCTCTTGAGGCCCCATCTGCAGCACTGCATCCAGGGCTGGAGCCCCCAGTACAAGAAAGACAGGGAGCTGTTGGAGAGGGTCCAGAGGAGGGCCATAAAGATTATCAGAGGGCTGCAGCATCTCTCCTATGAGGAAAGGTTGAGAGAGCTGGGCTTGTTCAGCATGGAGAAAAGAAGCTGCGGGGTGACCTCAGTGCAGCCTGCAGTACCTAAAGGGAGCCTACAGACAGGAGGAGAGTCAGCTCTTGGAAAGGGGAGATGGCAGCAGGACAAGGGGAAATGGTTTGAAGCTGAGGGAGGGCAGCTGGAGGTTGGATGTGAGGGGGAAGTTGTTTAGAGAGAGAGTGGTGAGGTGCTGGACCAGCTGCCCAGAGAGGCTGTGATGCCCCGTCCATCCCTGGAGGTGTTGGAGGCCAGGTTGGATGGGGCCCTGGGCAGCCTGGGCTGCTATGAAAGGTGGAGGTTGGTGGCCCTGCATTGGTGGGGGGTTGGAGCTTCGTGATCCTTGAAGTCCCTTCCAATGTGGGCTATTCTGTGATTCTGATTCTATGTGAGGGGGGCTGACTTCTTACACAGATAGGCAGGGATAGGATAAGGGCGCATGGATATAACCAGAAAGAAGGGAGTCTTAGGTTAGATGTTAGGATGAAATTCTTCACTCAGAGGGTGGTGGGAGAACAGGCTGCCCAGAGAAGCTGTCAATGCCCCATCCTTTTAGGTGTTCCAGGGCAAGCTTGAGAGTTTCCTGGTCAGCCTGATCTAGTGGTTGGCAATTCTGCTCACAGCAGGGGGGTTGGAACTAGATGATCTTTGAGGTCCCTTCCAACCCGAGTCATTCTGTGATTCTGTGATCTTCTGGGAGGGGTAGGGAGGGGTGCATCAGGGAAACAAGGCGATATCGCAGCCAAGGGTGAGCAAGGGTGAGTCCAGTGAACTGCTGAGCTGTCAGCATCACCTCTGTACTGGGGGCAGATCATGGAATGTATGGTTAGAATGACAGCATGGCTGGGTTGGAAGGGAGCTTAACTCCCTCCCATCCCCACCCTCTGCTGTGGGCTGACTGCCCCCCAGCTCAGGCTGCTCAGTGCCCATCCATGGTCTTGTCACCCCTACGGATGGGGGCACCCATAGTTCTGAAGCTCTGGGTAGCAGAGCTGGGGCCTCGTGCCTCTGGGGAAAGAATTTCATGGAATCATAGGATGATAGAATGGCCTGGGTTGCAAAGGACCATAATGGTCATCTAGTTTCAAACCCCTGCTATGTGCAGGGCTGCCAATCAGCAGACCAGGCCAGAGCCACATCCAGCCTGGCCTTGAATGCCTCCAGGGATGGGGGTTTCCTGCTCGCAACCTAAATTGCCCATCTTTTAGTTTAAAGCCATTCCCTTCGCCCTATCACTATCAGATTGTGTGAAAAGTTTCTCTCCCTCCTATTTATCAGCTCTCTTCAGGCACTGGAAGGCCTCAGTGAGGTCTCCTCGCAGCCTTCCCTTTTCCAGGCTGAACACTCCCAGCTCCTTCAGCCTGTCTCCATAGAGAGGAGCTCCATCCTCTGAGCATCCCCATGCCCATCCTCTGGACCCCCCTCACTTTTCCCCCTCCCTTTTAACGCTGTCCCCTCCATCTCTCGTCTCAACTGCACCACTCAGCTCAGTGTTATTTGTCAGCAGCTGAGGAGGTTCTCAATCCTGCTGTGACATTGAGAATGCTGTTACAGAGCACTGGTCCCAAGGTGGAGCCCTGTTGTAATGCGCTGGGACAGGGAGTGGGGGTCACCGTCCCTGGAGGTGCTTCGTGGGGATGTGGCACTGAGAGACACGGGCAGTGGGCATGGTGGGGATGGGTTGAGGATCTCAAAGGTCTTTTCCAGCCGTTATGATACTCTGACACAACACGCCATAACTGTTTGCACACCGCAGGAGTACGCAGGGGCTGAAGGAGCTCAGACTCACGCCGCTCCCTGGCCCCCACAGCCGGGGCATCGCGACGTGGCGCCGCGCGCCTCTCACCGCCCGCCCTCCGCGAACCGATTGGTTTTCTGCTTCCCTTCTCGCTAGCTGATTGGTCTTCCTCCCCCCTCTTCGCAAGCTGATTGGTTCTCCTCTTCGTCCATCAAACCGGCGAGGCGCCATGTTGAGCGTGGCTGCGCGGTTCCCGCCCCGCGGCGGCCATGTTACCCGCAGCACTGTGGGGGCTGTGAGGAGGGCTGGTGGTTGGTGGAGCTCAGCGCTGACCGATCCAGTTTTAGGACCTCTCGGCCGGTATAACGCTGACCCTGTCGGCTGTAGGATCGGTGCAGAGACCCGGCAGGGGCTCATCAGCCCCGTGCTCCATCCTGGAGCCTGAGAAAGGGATATGAGTCCAGTCCCAGCCTAATAGAAGCTGAGAGAAACGGTGCTAAAGCCGCCCTGCTGCGTGGCCCGAGCACTGCAAGTGGTATTTGTTACGTGTACGAGTGGTTGCAGGGGCAGGACTGGACCTTAGCCCTCAGCAAACATCCACGTTGCTGTTCTGGGGTCAGCTGAGTTTCTGCTGCCAGTGGCTTGGAAATGAGGGAAGGTTTCAGCATGAGGCACCCAGGCCCTGCTGCAGGCAGGCGTTCAGCTGCTGGGAAAAGTGAACACAAACTGCTGTGTTTTTGTTTTGTTTAAGGCTGGCTGTAAATCCTTGCTGCCAGCACTCTGACAACAGTTTGTATCTCTGTGGCTGCTTCTTAAAGTAGCTTAAATGGAAATGCTGTAGGAATGATGAACTGGATGAGGAGCTACGAGATACGGTTTAGTGGCTTGTGATAGTATTGGTAGTGGCAGGATGGTTGGACTAGATCTTGTAGGTCCTTTCCAACATTGTAATTCTATGATCCTATGAAAGAAGGAGCCTTCCCTGGTAGGTAATGTGCTTCACACTGGGAGGTGAGGTAGGCAGCAATGTCTGCCTGGCACTCCTGGGTGGGAAGAGTTGGCTTTAACTTGTCCCTGTGCTACCAAACCCAGTAGTCTGGAGATGGCTTAGGAACAGTCGTCCCTTCGCAAACTGCTCCTATCTCTGCCACTCCTTAATGTGCTGCCCTACCACTTCTTTGTAAGGCCACCTCCAACATAAGTCTTGATTTCACCTATGCTTTTACTTGTGCCTTTCCTTCCTGGTCCCAGTTTCCCATGTTTTGGTGTCACAGGTGCTTCTGCTTCTAAGCCCCTACCTCAGAGCTGCGCTTCATGGGCAGCAGCTGCCTGGCAGTGTGGTTTCAGATCAGAATTTAATGCAGTGCTGATTGATCACTGCTCCGATTGCTTCTGGCTGGAGCTGTCGGGGCTCATGATAGATTCTCTCGCTCTCTTTTTCCAGATCATCAGCGTTCATTGATATAGCAAGCCTCTCCACTGCTGACCAGACTCATACATTTGCCTCCTGCTTTGAGATCCACCCTGTCAGCCCCTGTACTGCCTTTCTGAGTGAGTGGAGCTTCTGACACTCCTGACACGCTGGATCTGCATCTCCATTGCAATCTAATGCACGAAGGGAAGACAAGAGAGGTGAGAGAATGAGGTCCATACAAGAACACAGCCCAGATGGGCTCTGTACTCCATGTGAGGCTATTGGCACCTCCACCTTGTTAGCCTTGGGTGGGATCTGCACCATCTTTGCATCCAACCTCCATGCCTTGCAAGGATGCAGGCTCCCAGATCTGAGCTGTGTTTTTGTGGCACTTCCTGGACACGACAGAGCTGCTGATGTGGAACAGACATTGTGCTGCCCTTTAACCTCACCTCTGGAGCCCCAGGTGTGGCCACCTTGGCAATTACAGCCATTTGATAACTCCAGGTGCTTTGAGCAAGGAGCAGTGGTGGAGTTTGAGCTGGGTTCAGTCTGACACTCCCCTTCAGGGAAGGCTGTTTTTCCTTCTGTGAACTCTGAAGCCCAGACCACACAAAAAGTCAGTGTGAGTCTTGTTTATAAGCTCCCTTCAAGTGTTGAAAGGTCTCACTGGAGTCCTTTCTTCAGGCTGAACAAGCCCAGATCCCTCAGGTTTTCTTTGCGGGAGAGCTGCTCGGCTTTCTGGGCATCTTTGTATCAACTGCACAACTCAGCTTGGTGCCATCAGCGAACTTGTTGGGGATATACTCGATCTCACTGCCTATGCCATTGATAAAGATGCTGAAGAGCATTGGTCCCAAGATAGACCCTTAGAGGACAGCTCTGTCACTGCCTCCACTGGGACACGGAGCCATTGGCCACAGCCCTCTGGCTGCAGCTGTCCAACCAGTTGTTTATCTGTTGAATAGTTCAGCATTCACATCTCTCCAATTGAGAGATAAGGATGTGGTGCAGGGCCATATTAAATGCCTTGTGGAGGTCCCTCTAGATGGCATCTATCACTCCTTTGTGCAACTAGCATTCCATGATAGAAGACCACTGGGTTGGTCAGGCACAGGCTGCTCTTGGTGAAGCCATGCTGGATGTCTGGGATCACCTCTTTGTCTTCCATGTGCCTTAATATGGCTTCCAGAAGGATCTGCTCCATGATCTTTCTAGGCTCACTGCTCTGTCATTCCACAGATCTTCACGTCTCCCTTTCTTAAAAACAGTGAAGACGTTTCCCTTTTACCAATCACTGGGGATTTCACCCGACAGCCATGACAAAGAGCACAGGTTTGCTTGCACTAGGGATAGTTTAAGAAGAAAAGCTTTTAACATCAAGTTAGTTCTCTAGATCCAAGATGTAACCTGATGTAGATGAGGTACATCTCAATTATGTGCATCAGCTTGTCACACAATTCCTTTTCCTTCACTTTACACAACTGAGTGAGCAGTGATGATTGAAAAGGTTTCATGCTATTGCCACCCAGGTGCCAACTGGTGTTCCAAATTTTGTTAAGTATTTCTTTTGCTCGTTCATTTTTAGTCTCAAAAAGGCTCAAGGAGCTTGCATCTGAGTGCTATCAGAAGGTCTGTGTCATTGTTACCTGTCTTCAGAACTCCAAAGATTTTGACTGCTGTCAAGAGTAGAAATTTGGCTACCAGCCTTGGAATTTACTACAGTGGAATCTTTTAGCCACTTGTTCAGCAGAAATTCAACAGAAAGTCAAATGGAGCAAAATCAGATTTGACAGACGGTTTCCTTCTTCATAGACAGCTCCTGTAACTGAAATAACTTTCAACACAGCTCTGCTTTCAGCCATCACCTACTAACCTGGGGTAGCAGTGTAGGCTCTGGTCTGTATTCCTCTCCCTAAAGGTGGACATCAGCATGTGGTCAGCAGCATCAGCTGTGGCTCAGCACCTCCTGCAGCTTCTCAGCCTCATCCATCAGCCAGTAGAAGCAGGCAAGTTCTTGCTTCTCTGGGCCTGATGGTGGGATCCAGGCACTTGGCCTTTCCCAGACCCACGGTGCCCCATCATTTTCTGTCTGCCCTGCAGCGGCCACATCTGTTCTGGCTTCCTGCAGATGCAGCTCCTGCCTGGTGAGTATCTCACCCTCATCCTCAGTCTTTTCCCTGTTTTCAAGCTCAGTCTCATGAGTGCTTCTGTTGTCTGTGTCTGCAGCAGCTCCCATATGAAGGGTGCTGGCTGGATGGTGCGGAGTCAAGTGTGCATGAAGTAGTGCTGGTTGGTGATGCACAGTACAACCAAGATAACATAGGAGCAGCCAGCCTCTGCGCTCTGATGGTAGACATTGGAGCAGCTGTTGAACATGAAGGTTTGGAAGAGGACCATCGTGGTGGTGAAGTGCCTGAAGAGCTGCAGGTGGGACTCGCAGGAGAGGCAGCGCATGACTGCAGTGCATGACTACAGAGAAGATGGCAAGGGGGACAGGTTGCAGATGCAGAGTGGTCACGAGATGCTGATAGGAGTTGGCTGAGGCCTTGGCTGCAACAGAATGGCTCTTGGCAGTTTTTTTTCCTGCTGGCTGAGCGTGTTCTCTGTGAAAACCGGGGGCCCTGTCTCCAATTTGAATGTGCTCCAGCTTCTGCTCCCAGCAGCTTCTGCTAGTTCTTGTCATGCCTTTCTTTGACTGATTAATCATTTCATAGCTAGGTAACTGAGTACCTGCTGAGACTGTCTGTTTCCAGGAACATAGCCTGCATTTATTATTATTATTTTTTGTGGTGGCTGCTAGCAAAAAAAAAACAAACCAACAACCCAAGGGTTTGAACTGTTACTTTCCACTGGTGGGAAACCAAACCCAAACCACCCCTCCTGTGTGCTGTGCTAAAAAAATCCCCAGAGGTCTCTTCTTTCTCTCAGGTCTTCCCCAGATACTGAGAGGAGCCATGAGCAGGCTTTGCTGGAGGGGTTACTGCATGCATCCTCTTCTCCTTCATTGCAGATTTCTCCCTGTCACACGGCAGTGTGCCCTATAATGGCTTGCTGTGGTACGTAGCACAAATGCTGGCAGAGATGATGCTTGAGTGGTTTGCAGCCTACCCATGAGGCTGCTAATTGCCCCTGCCCTTTCTCACTCAATCCACTCTGTCGTGCTGTGCAGATGAGCAAAGTGGTCCTGGGAGAGTTGGGATAAAGCACGTGAAAGTCTCCAGTTCTTTTCTGACTTGTTTGATTGCAAAAAACAAGGAAAGCATTTCAGTTCAACTTGGAATAAAACAGCCTCTGATGTGCTCAGCTCCTGTCTTCTGCAGTGCTGCGTAGGACCGTGTGAAGTCCCTGCAGGAGTCAGTGAATGGAAGCAGATCCCTGAATTGCTTTATCTCAAAATCTCCTTTCATAGACCTGCCTCAGGCTGAAGCTCCCTGGCAGACAGAGCAAAGAGTTGCATTTGCCCATTATAAAGAGATGCTGAGACCGAACAAAGCTTTTGGACAGAGCGGTGATAAAAAGGATTGTCTTTAGCAGTCAGAGGTTTGTCTCTGGTAGAGAGCACTTGCTTCTCCTGGATCAACGGGGAGGATTTCTGAATCCATTCTGGTATACAGACAAGGACAATATATGTGTTTGAAACGATGCTGAATTTGTCTGAGATCCCTGCTGGACTGGATTATTCTTTCCCATCGTGTAGGAGAGCAGCTGTAATGACCAGTGTCACGGTGATGTGCAAGGCAGGAAGGCTCCCAAATGCCAGGTGCAAAGCAGAACGAGAACTGCCTGTATTAAAACTTATTTGCATTTAGCCAACTTATTAAATGCACTTTTTTTTCCTAGGCAGTTCAAGGACTGAAAAATACACTTTAGATAAGCAATTAATCATATTGAGGGAATACAAATTAAATGATCAATAATAGAAAGCATAGAGCAGTTGGTTTCCAAAGCACCTCGTTGTGCACCTGGATTGTTGGTGCAGTTTCATAGAGTGACAGAATGGCCTGGGTTGCAAAGGAGCTCAATGCTCATCCAGCTCCAAGCCCTGCTGTGTGCAGGTCGCCAACCAGCAGCCCAGGCTGCCCAGAGCCACATCCAGCCTGGCCTTGAATGCCTGCAGGGATGGATGGGGCATCCACAGCCTCCTTGGGCAACCTGTGCCACTGCCTCACCACCCTCTGCCTCCAAAACTTCCTCCTCACATCCAACCCAAACCTCCCCTGTCTCACTTTCAAACCATTCCCCCTGTCCTGTCACCACCCACCCTCACACACAGCCGTTTCCCCTCCTGTTTGTCTGCTCCTTACAGGTATTGGAAGGATACTATTGGAAGACACTCCACCAAACACTGGAAAACAGAATTTAGGACTACAAGAGAGATTTCTTCTCATCGGCTCCAAACACCTGCAGACCAGTGAGTGCTGCTGACTGCTGGAGAAGAGGCTCTGGAGCAATCTCCCAGAAGGAGAACTGGAGGAAAACCTTTGTTTCCAGGTAGAAATCTGAATCTGCAATCAGGCTGTGTTGGTCCTAGAGGTGAGGGTGCATTGAATCCCTACAGGCAACCCTGCATAACGTTGTTTGAACCTTGTGGACTGAATCACAACAGATTTGCATCAATGCCAACGTGAATAAAACTTGCAAGCAGGAGCTGAGACCCCTAAAGGGCTCTGTGATTGAGCACGTCCTCCTTCCAGGCAGCCACGCTGAGATATTCATGGGAACAGCAGGTGCTGAAGCCAGCTGAAGCCCTGGGAAGCTTGGGGGTGAGTGCTTCTGAAAATCCCATTTTGTGTTTAAATCTCAGTAACCTGAATCAGAGAGAATCGGTCGGTGTGCGATTACACCGACATACAGGAGGGAGCAAGGCTGCACCAGCAAGGGGGGTCCCAAAAGCAGTGTTTAAATGGGATGAAATAGGCACACGTGATGGGATGCAGCTGAGAGCTTCCTCTCTGCTGAACCTTGAGGGCAAACCAAGCAAAATGGGGCAAAATGGGCTAAAATTAGCTAAAGGTCTGGCCTGCCACAAGGTGGGGTTCAGGATTTCCTCAGGCATAAGTCCCAAAGTCTCCTGTGTGTCCCCAGCAGCTGCTCCTGTAAAACTGGGGTGTGCTGCTGTAAATATGCTGTGCTGTCACAAGGAGTTCACCCTGTGCTCTCTCTAAAAGGAGTTGGAATCTAAAAGGAATCCTCCAGTTGAGGATTAGGCCTTCAGTTGTAAGGACTTCACTTTTTGTTTCCCCCCCTCCTTTGAGACCTTTGCATCTTGGCTGTCTCTAGCAAAGGCTTGTGGTCACTGTATATTTTTAACCTGTAATTAGAAGCCAAATTGTTTGTGCAGCCCTCCAGTCAACGAGTTGCAGTTCATTAAAAAATAATAACAACAAAGACCCAGATTTCTTTCTTTTCCTTCAAACAAAGACCTATTTCAATGAACCCAAACAAAAATGTGTTGGAATAGCACACATTTGGCAACCAACTGCCCCACACAACCCCTCTGCTGGTTGGGTTGGGCCTGTCCTGCACCACTGACCTGTGTCAGCATGAGGCTCTTTCAGAAATGTTGGTCTTTTGTCTCAGGTAAGCAGTGATAGAAGCACAGAATATTGGACAGAGAGGTTGTGGATGCTTCATCCCTGCAGGCATTCAAGGCCAGGCTGGATGTGGCTCTGGGCAGCCTGGGCTGCTGGTTGGCGACCTGCACACAGCAGGGCTTGGAGCTGGATGAGCATTGAGCTCCTCTGCAACCCAGGCCGTTCTGTGATTAATATCCAGGTAAGGAGGTGCCCATAAGGTGTACAGCACAGGACACCCCAAAATCACACCATACATCTGAGAGTGTAATCCAGGTGCTTCTTGAATAGAACAAGAGGTGATGGCCTTAAGTTGTTCCAGGAAGGGCCAGGCTGGGTATTAGGGAAAATTTCTTCTCCTAAGAGTGGTGATGCAGTGGCACAGCTGCACAGGGAGTTGGGGGAGGGGGGGGAATCACCATCCCTAGGGGTGTTCAGAACCATGGAGATGTGGCACTGAGGGATGTGGGCATGGTGGGGTGGGCTGGGGTTGGGCTTGGGGATCTCAGAGGTCTTTTCCAACGTTTGTGATTGTGTGACTCTATGAAGTTTGATGTCCCTCTGCATATCCCCACTCCCAGAGGTGCCTCTTGAGATGGCTGGGCTGTGTTTGCTTCTGGAGACCTGGAAACAGCAAGAATTTCCTGTATTCTGTCCGTGACTTCACACAGGGTGGGGACTCAGGCACTGATCAGAAGAACTGAGCGGCTGCCTCGGAAATGGCCTTGGATTCTGATGGGAAGGAGAGCAAAAATAGATGTGTGAGGTTTTAAAGTCTGCTTCAGATGTGACACGCTGGAGCTGAAATGGGGGAGGACTGGGGGATTCGTGAGGCTCAGGGAGGGATGTGGAGGAAGAGGAGGGATTGGAGGAGAATCTCTTCACTTGGAGCACCATCAGTTGTTTCCAGGCCTCAAGGGGCTGAGCAGCAGTGACACTGATTTATGCAGACTTGGAGATCACCCAAAGCAATTACCTGCACAAACTGCAGAGCTTTTGGTTTTTTTCTTTTTTCCCTTCACTGAGACAGCAGCAAAAATCATAGAATCATGGGCTGATAGAAAGGCCTGGGTTGCAAAGGAGCACAGCGCTCATCCAGCTCCAAGCCCTGCTGTGTGCAGGTCGCCAACCAGCAGCCCAGGCTGCCCAGAGCCACATCCAGCCTGGCCTTGAATGCCTGCAGGGATGGATGGGGCATCCACAGCCTCCTTGGGCAACCTGTGCCACTGCCTCACCACCCTCTGCCTCCAAAACTTCCTCCTCACATCCAACCCAAACCTCCCCTGGCTCACTTGAAAGCCATTCCCCTTGTCCTGTCACCACCCACCCTCACACACAGCCGTTCCCTCTCCTGTTTATCCGCTCCCTTCAAGCACTGAAGGCCACCATCAGGTCTCCCCATATCCTTCTCCAAGCTGGGAAGTGCTAGGATGCCATCCCTGCTCCTCACTGCGGTGTGCACAGCTCGGTATGTGAAGAAGGCCAGGCTGGATGTGGCTCTGGGCAGCCTGGGCTGCTGGTTGGTGACCCTGCACACAGCAGGGGGTTGGAAGTGGATGAGCATTGAGCTCCTTTGCAACCCAGGCCGTTCTATGATATAAGGGAAAAGTTATTTAGGGTGTTGAGGCGCGGGATGCCCAGAGAGGCGGTGGTGCCCCTTCCCTGCCGACACTGGAGCTCAGTTGACGCGTCCGTGAGCGCTGATGGAGCTGCGCACCGCGCGCCGCCATCGTTACGCTCTGAAATGTGCGCCCCACCCTAAGCCGGGAGCTAAGCTCCGCCCTCTCGCTCGGATTGGCTCGCTTCAGGGGAAGGGGCGGGGCGTGCGCGCGGCGTGACGTTCGCTGAGGGGGCGGGGCGGCGACGCGCGTGCGCAGGGGCGGGGCGGGACCGGCGGCGGTGTGAGGCGAGGCGGCGCGGCGGACTGAGCCCGGCCCTGAGGGGAGCGGCAGCGACAGCGGCACGACGCGATCCGTCGCCGTCCACCTCCCCGAGCCCGGCCGGGGGAGCGATCCCACGGCCCTACCCGCATCCTGAGGGGAGGAAGTAGGGCAAGAAAAAAAAAAAAAAAAAGAAAAAAAAAAAAAGAAAAAAAAAAAAAGAGAGGAAAAATCGCGGATCCCAACCGCGTGGAGTAGAGCGAGAGCCAGCGAGCGGGGCGGCGGTGCCATCATCATGTCGGCGGGCGGGGACTTCGGCAACCCGCTGCGGAAATTCAAGCTGGTGTTCCTGGGAGAGCAGAGCGGTGAGTCACGGCCCGGCCCGTGCCCGCCATCCCCCAACCCTTCATCCCCCAACCGCCGCGGTGGGGGGACCCCACCCCCCCCCCCCCTTCCCTTTTTCCCTTCCCGCCTCCCTGTGGTCTCTGTAGCAGAGCCGTTGCTCCCTGCCTGCCCTCTGCTACCGCTGGGTTGGGAACTGCGCGCTGCTGTGTGCCGATTTCAACCAAAAAAACAAAAAAAAAAGCCAAAAAAAAAAAAAAAAATCCATCTCCAGAGGCGGCTGCTGATTCACCGGACCCCAATTGTGGCGTTTTATCTCTGGCAGGAGATGCCGCCTTCGTTCTGTGGTGTTTTCTGCACCAGCCGAGCGCTGTGAAGGAAGAGCCGCCCCAGGTGCGGGGCTGGATCCACCTTTGCTCTCAGTGATGAAACACGTCATCGTGTTTTGTTGGTTCGCTTTTCCTTCTCCTTTTTTCTTCCCCCCCGTCTCTCTCACGTGCTCAGCCGTGCAGCCCCCAGCTCGGGGCTGGGGTTGCCGTTGGATTGCATTGACCCTCCATTGAGTTGAATGGACCTGGAGCCTCTCCAGCCCCTCCTGTGGGCGATTTCCTTTTGTCCGCCCCATTTAAATCATCGCTTTTTTTTTCTGCTTTTTTTTTCCTCCCCCATCTCTTCTTCCTATTAGCAAATTCAGCCTCAACTTGGGCATTTCTTTTTGGGTAAGTCAGCTGATCCACTCGCTGGGGTGCTGTTTGGCCAGCCATCTTAGGAGGTTTTTTGGAGAGGAGGGTTGTGCAGATGTGGTCTGGTCTTTTTTTCTTTATTTTTCTCAATCGTTACTTCATCCCCAGCTAATTAACAAGGAGAACTTCAAGCTCTAGCTGTGCGTTTGCTTGTTTTACTGTATTTCTGACTTTAATTATGCTTCTGTGGGAGCTGCCAATGCAGACCTTAAATCTCAGCAGCTCTTCGTTCACATGTGGATTTCCCATCTCTCTATTCAAACAGATGTTTTCAGATACCTTCTTCCTCTAGCCTCATTCTCCCCCCCCTTTTAGCTAATCATTTGTGTCTATACAAGGCCTTAAATAATGACCTAAAACGTGGGGAAACGTGTATTTAATAACTATAAAAACCCAGCCCTGCTGCTGTGACCAGCTTGCAGATGCCTTGGGGCTTTAAGGAAGCACTCAGAGCTGCTGGCAGCTGTGCTGAGGCTCCGACCTGCCTTTGTCTCAGCTGCTGAGCGATGACTCCGTGGCTGTGCTGCGCCCAGGTGGCTCTGTGTGCAGTGGGGAAATGGCTTTTTGTGTTTTGGGGTTCGGTCCCTACAGATGCTGCTGTCATTGTGGGTTTCTGTGTATTTTTTTATACTGGCTGAAGCATGAGTAGCTCATGAACCCGCCGTAGGGGACCTGCTTTAACAGGGGGTTGGGCTGGGTGATCTCCAGAGGTCCCTTCCTACCCCTGCAGTTCTGTGATTCTCCCATTACATGCAGCTCCTGGAAGAATAAATGTCCTAATAATGGTCTTCGTTAGCGTGGCAGTAATACAGAAGCATCTCTCATCCTGCAAAGGGAGTTCCAGTGGGTTTTACATCCGTGTGTCTCCCTTCGCCATTTTCCCTTTTGAAGGTTAAGGAGAAATATCTTTATGTGTGTTTCCAACAGCTGATTTTACAAATGGGAATATCTCTTTCCACAACTGTTGAAGTGGATTATTGCCGTTGCTTCCTGTTTAGCTGAAAGGTTTCCTGCCCTGCTGGAAGGCCGTAATCAAAGATCTTCTCCTGCTGCTTGTGGGGATGCTGGATGCTTCTCTTTCATTTACATTCAGGGGCTTCATTATGGCAAATGAGGTGTTACCAAGGGCTGCGATGCAGCAGTAGCTGGCTGAGCAGCCACATCGGGCTAAGATCAGCCCGTCAGTGCTGACTGCATGCAGTCTCTTCAATAAATAAGTATGTTTTGGTTAAGAAATCCCTAATGAGTTCATTGCTGTGTGTGTTTTGCAGCCCCGCGGTGCGATTGTGTGGCCAGCGATTGCCACGTAAGACCTGGGAGTGATTGGAGATGCTTTATTTGCATCTGAAACTGAGGTTGCTGTGGATGCAGTCAGGTTTCTGCTGCTGTCCTCAGCCATATTGTGGTAGCTCTGCTCTATGTGACTGCAGCGATTCTTCCTGCTGGTGCTGCTTGCTGCCAGCTGCAGATTCTCTATGCTAAGATGCCGGTAGGTTTTTAAAGCCCTTTCTCCCCTCGCTCCCCAGTTTCCAAAGCCTTTCCATTGCCCGTGGTTTCTTCCACCCCCTTCCCTTGGTGCTTTCATTGTGGCAGCTCCTCGAGCAATGACACCCTGCTGCGGCTCCGTGCAATGGCAGAAGGTCACTGGCAGCTCCTTCCAGGATTTACTGCAAGTCATTGCCTCTCCATGGCAGTGGTTGCGCTCAGCTCCGTGTGGATCCATCACCAGCCTGCAATTTAATCCCTGTCCAGCTCAGAGAAGCTTCTCTTTCCTTCTCCGTCTCGTTTTGTTCCCCAACTTGTAGTACAAGGATGCGGCGTTAGGTAGCCAGCAAGAAGGCAGCTTCACCAGCCCTCGCCTTAATTGAATTACTTTTCTCAATGATCAGAGATTATGGAGTTTAGTACTTTTAAATATGCTAATCTTTGCTGAAAAAGCAGAGAGCTCAGTGCTGGGGGATTAGATAAAGCTATTGTATGAAAAAAGAAAAATGCTCTGCTTCCTGCTGCCTTTGATCTTGTTTTATCAGGTGGCTTTCATCAGTCCTCATGCCTCGAGTCGAAGAAATTCAGATTTCT